TACGTGAAATGGCGCCTATGGCAAAGTTTAAAAATGCGCCTTTTTGATTCGTGACTGACAATTTTTAATGACTGTTGGTGAAATCAGGTTCTTGATCGTTTTATTCTGGTAAAAATACGAGTTTCATTCAATACTAACTCTAAATTATTGACTTTCTTTCTATTCTTTCCTCAAATGGCGCACATGACACGTGCCACGGCTGCCATTACATAGATACGCCATTGGGTATACCTACATTGAGCACAGTAATATGAACAATAATTTGTGTTTATTCTTTGGGGGAACAAATAAATATAAAGAGCTTCATTCCATCTTAAACAGATTAATTCATATCGGGGCGCAATGCATATTGGTTAGGCAGGGGTTCCCAAACCAGGGGTCGCGACCCAAATTGGGTCGGAGTGATAAATAGGTAGGGTCGCAAACAGGTCATGGGGTTGGTGGGATCGCTGAGGTATGGTAGAGGATGGATGTACAACTCATCTAAGATTTGACAAACCATGTTAAATTTAGCAGTTTGTACTATGGTTCAATGTAAGACAGGACATAGGCATCACTCTATGCTTTTGTTATTGAAAATGTAGGTGCTTATTGTGACATCACTGTTGGGTTTTAGCTTATTTTACTCAATACCACCACATGACCAAACTTAAAAGTCCAGTGAAAGAAGCTCTAAAGTTTCATGAAAAATATATATATTGACCTGGGGTCGCACTGGACACTTGGAAGTTGTCTTCGGGGTCGTCCTGAAAAAAGCTTGGGAACCCCTGGGTTAGAGCATGGGTGTGCGACATTTTTGTCGGTGGGCCATAAAACCAACTTCAGACATCTAGCTGGGCCGAACAATAAAGGGAGGGCGCGAGAAGAGGAAGCGGTCTAGATTAGCTTTACAGTAATAAATGCACTGGACAAAACGGCGAAAAATTTAAAAAGAAGCTTAAGAACACCAGGGATAGGGTACTGCCTCCCAAAAAGAAGAGAGCAATGCGCAATTACATGGACACGAAGTTGTTGAATGTTGAAATAAAACAGCAGAATGTTGGGCGAAATATCGGGCTCCGTAGAAAAAAAACAAAGTATTATTCAGAAAACACTAACAATTAAGCAAATCGATCGATATACAATGTTATACAATTTATATTATACATTTCTAAACACTTGTCCGCATCCCTTTGCAATATGTTGTTTACGTGTTTTGCGTTGTGAGCGCGTGTCTCCGTGTCTTGTTTGTGTTTTAATTAAATATCAGCGTTGCCAGATGTTTCCATGCATAAGAAGTCAAAGGTCATGAAATTGATACAAGAAAGAAGAGAAACAATTACATTAATTTCTAAATTTGGCAACCGCTTTTTTGAAAATGATATTGAAGGGTACTTTGAATTCTCTATCTCCTGAACTCTTGTGCGATGAATATTTCCCCGACCCTTGGCCCCATAAATATTCTCCCTTTTTTTATTGTTACAAAATTTGGTGCTCCCGTAGTATGTGTATCAAGATGGCGCACAACCTGAACGTAGTATGTGTACCAGGTAGGGGTTATCAGGTTGTGCGCCATTTTGGTACACATACGACGGGAGCGGCCGAAATTTTATATGCTTATTTTGCAAGCGTTTTTGAGAGTTAGCATTTACAAACTGAGTTACTATCATTTTTATCAAAATATACAACCGGGTGCCGCTGGCAAATACTGATAGATAATTTAAGGATAGTCTATTGCAGCTTATGCTGAACTATTTTTTAATTACTGCTAAATAATAAAAAAAATAGTAGCTTTCCAGTTTTGTTTGGGAATGATTTGAAAATTTGGATTTATAGCGCAATCTGCATTCTTAACCGTAACTGGATAATTACTGATTTTCTCATTTTGAGTGGTGGCGGGGATGTATTTTTTAAGGGGCTTTGTACAAAAGATTCGATTCTAGTCTCAGCAAAAGAATAGCTTCTTACCTATCAGTAGGGCTGGGCATTTTCGAATACCTTGTGATTTCAGAATCGAATCGAATATTTTTTTTCGAATCGAATTGAATCTCGAATAATTGGAAATATATAATTGTAAGCGACTTTTTTGTTGTAACTGGTTCTCTCAACAAAGGAATTACCGAAGACATAGAATACATCACTCAGATAGATTACTGAGCGTTCACACAGAATAACAAACACGTTTTATCAATAACTCACTACAGAAAATAGTCATATGTTAGAATTGCGTTGAAAAAATATGACTTCAATGAAAAAAAAATTGGGGGAATTCACCCGGACCAAAGGCGGAAAGAAAAAACAAGATGGCGGCGATTCGAAATTTTGCTCTGAACCGATTCGAATAAATTACTATTCGATTCGATTCGAAATGCCCAGCCCTACCTATCAGTAACTGCTTGTATCGAGACTGGTTTGGAGCGAAAACCGCCTCATAAAAACACTTATTATGTAAGTCATTACGTCGAATTGAGTCTTTGATTGATTAGAACAATGTCGCTAATTGAAGGCTATTAAATTATTTACTCACAATGGAACGATTGTTTGCTGACAAATGAACAATCCACGTCATATAAACTCTTTGTGATGTAATAAACATCCTCTCCATTTGACGGATGTCGCTTAATGATCTTTTGTAGTTAACTTAGCCTTGTATGGCAAGTGGATAATACTACACGATTTATGTCTGGGCCATGCTAGATCTATATTACCTAAACAGGGGATGGGAGGTAATTAAGTATTATTAACGCTTCAATGCTTTGGAAGTCTTTTGGTTATGGCGAAACAATGCATGTTTAATTGCAATAAAAATTGGTGATAAAATAATATTGTCCCCGCGTCAACAGAGAAAAAAAAGTCAAATATAGAATGAAATAGTCATTTTCACTTTTATAAAATAGAAGGGAAATGGCCCCTTAGTAACAAAAAACAGCACCATCGTTCATTGCCACTACGACCGAAATTGACTTATAGTAATTAGTAATACAGATGAAACTGAATTCATTATTAACTCTATGGACTTTAATAGGGTTGTGGTCAACCTAAAAGTGTCTCACTGGCTGAGGACCGGTGCGCTAGTGTTTTCAAATATGACAGCCTTTTACGTAAAATTGGCTTTTTCATTAAAGCACTTTTTGGAAAATGCGTGCCATGCCTTGTAAAGACCAGCCTCATGCTACCTAACAGATGCTCGCTCTGTTTTAAGCGACGCCATCGAGTATTATGTAATGAGCAATACAAGACTATAGATTTCATTTGGGTGATTTGTTGTCCTTACGAAGATAGTTTTTCCGCACGTATCAGCTTCTCGTCTAGAGCCTTTTTTGAGGAAATGAGCTTTATACTTTTTAAAGAACAAGCGGATGTTACTTAACAGAGGCCTCTCAGTTAAGTGACGCCATTGGGTACTGGGCAATGAACAGTCCAACTTTATACAGTTCGTTTGCGCGATTTGTTGCATTGTCACTGGCTGCTTTCTAAATCCCTTTTTGAGAAATGCGTTTCATACTTCATGAAAAACAACCGGATGTCATCTTGCAGTGGTTCTCTCATGTAGGCGACGCTAATGGACAATGAACAATACTGGACTTTAAATTTCGATTTGGACTGTTTGTTATCTTCACGAAGTCAGTTTACTGTAATTCCTTACGTATCAGATTGTGCTGAGCCTTTTTCCAGGAAATGAGTGCCATACTTCATGAAGACCAAATCTGATGTTACTCAACAGATTCTCGTTCAGTTAGGCGATGCCATCTGATACTGGACAATGATCAACTCAACACTATAACATTCGTTTGGACGATTGATTGTGAGATTGTTTGGAAAATTACAATGGTCAACCTTTGTTGCCATCTAACGAGTGTAAAATACCAGTTCTTTGATTAATTATAGTCATTGAAAACACCTACCGCATGGGCAATACAATGCTTTAACATTCGTTTGGACAATTGATTGTTGGATTTGATATGTCCGAGCTGATTGTTTGAAAATTTACAATGGCTAACCTTTATCGCCATCTAACGAATGTAAAATAGTAGTGCTTTGTGATTACAAGTTGTTTAATAAGAACGAACATCTGGAGGTTGCTGTTATAATTCCCGAAATACTTGCCTGTCTGCCGTTTTGTATGTTAGGTGTATGCTGTGGGAGTTTGCCGCGATATAAGTGAACACGAAATACATATATGGAACGTTTTGTTATTATTATGTTATTGTTCTTGTTCATTTCTATGTTAGTATTTTACTTGTTAAGAAAGAGTTCCTTTTGTAGTTTGTACTTTTGCTAGAACGCTATTACTCTCATTCATTTCAAAAAATTTTGGCTTCGTGGAATTCGTTTTTTGTTTGCGATGACCTAATCACAATAATTGAAATTGCGCACCTTGTGGCGATAGTCTACTGTGACAAATTGCATACCTGTTCTACTTCGTTTTAGCCATCGTGTCCATATATTTGAGCATTGCTCTCTTTTCTGATATTGGAGTTGTATTTCAAACTGGAATCGAAAGTCAAATATCTTGAGTAAATCAAAGTCAGGGTTTTCAACAGGAAATCGAAAAACGAAATATTTGCCGAGTGTTCTTAACAAATGAATAAAGAAGATTTGCGTACGACAAAGTTTACGTGATCAAAATTACATTTTTTTCGGAGCTGTAGTCAGAACGATGAATGACCTAGAGTTAGGAGTTGCCTCGTGCAATAACTTGTAAATTTAACTCAATGTAACCATTTGTTTATACAGCTGCAGTCAAGCGATGGTTGCTGTAGCGTTTTAAATCAGGCACCAATCATTGCTGTGCTGTAGATGTAGTGTGTTAATTCTTTCAACTTTATTCATTTAACTATTGATCCGCTCAGTGTCAGCATCAGCAATTCGATTCGTATTTATTTTCTCGTTTAATAACATTTACTTGTGTTACTTGTGTAGTCGATTCTTGCTTGTATTTTCATTTAAAAAAGACATAACATTCCCTCAACCTTAAAGACCTACCCTGTTGGCTATACATAACAAAATATTAGCCAATATCAGGTTTGATTTTTTATTTAAAAAAAAAACTTCTGTCATAAATAAAAAAAGGATATCTTTTCCATTAAAGAAATTTTTATCGGGAGATAAGACTCCTATCGTATATATTCTCAGGCAGCCAAGCTTTTTCATTCACAAAAATAAATAAAATTGATAATTTAAATTGATAAAATTGAGGTGTGGTGATTTCAAACTTTACGGGACCAATCCGTTACACAGTATTCAATTATTCAGAACATATTTAGCAACATACTCTAATAACATCAGAGGAGGAAATTTCCAAGAAGGGGGTGGGAAGAAATTTCTAATTGTCAAGTTTGACCGTGACAGCCAGAGCAGGGGTTCGCAAATCAGGGGTCGTGACCCCAAATTGGGTCGGAGTGATAAGAAGGTAGGTTCGCAAACAAGTGATGAGGTCGCTGAGGTATGATAGAGGATGAATGTACAAAACATCTAAGATTTGACAAACCATGTTAAATTCAGCAGTTTGTACCATGGCTTACTGTAAAACAGGCCCATATGCATTGCTCTATGCTTATGCTATAGAAAATGTAAGCGCTTATTATGACATCACTGTTTAGTTATAGCTTATTTTACTTAATACCACCACATGACCAAACTCAAAAGCTCCGTGAAAGAAGCTCTAAAGTTTTATGAAAAATATATATATTGACCTGGGGTCGCACTGGACACTTGAAAGTTGTCTTTGGGGTCGTCCTGAAAAAAGCTTGGGAACCCCAGAGCTAGGGGGTTCGAAAAATGTGATTTCTTAAGAATCTTGAAATGGCAAAATTGCCATGAATGACACAAATTTTTTTTTTTTCAATTTTAAATGGAGGAAGGGAACCCCTCCAAATATTTTGGGCTGGCTACGCTCGTTATGTGAAAGCCGATAAGGCAGCTTAAGTATACGGAAACCACTTCTTCTCGTCTAGCTAAAATGGCGCCCAATAAAGTCATCTTATGTTTTCATGAGATACAATCCCCGATGATTTTGTTTTCACTCTGTATCGCTTCTCTTTCGATACCACTGATAAATCTGGCATCCATACTCCACTCCTTCTTTGTGTCACCAAATTTACGTCACTAGGTGGTGACGTCATCAAAGGGGGTAGTGTAGGGGAAGGACTGTTTGTAAGACGATACTTTTGTCCAAAATTATGCCTATATATTGCGAGTTTTTTCCCGCCATTCAACGGGAACATATTGCTCTTTTCGCGGTGAAACTCCAGTGGGGACGTTTTTTTGACACCAAAATTTACTCCATAGGTCAAAGGTGAACTACTTCCACTGTTTGGTTCGGAAGTGGCGCGCCTTGGGTACCGGACTACGCAGCTCCAAGCCGCCTTATCCGCAGCAATTTGTCCCCTCAGTGCGCTTAATCTCGCGTCCTGGCGCGCTTTGCTTATAACCTCTTCCCTCGAAATAAGTTCTTTTGAGGTCATCGCATCTTCATTTATGACGTCATTGTTAGATATGACGTTTTTAGTTCCTATGACGTCACCGCGACCGGTTCCTCTAGAGTTCAGTTCTTCTCTTATAACTGGTAAATTATTGCCTTTTTCTCCGTATTTTTTCTTAAGATGCTTTCGCACGTAGATATTCCTGGTAGAATTCGGTTCACCGTTATCTATTATATCCATAATGTCATTATATCCATTACCCAGATAACCGTTATTCGTTTCAGTTACCGGATTATCGTCCTCGGAGATTTCAGGTAAAATTTTCTCTACAATCTGGCCTTTATCCGCCTCTACTATGCCCTCAGTTTCGTTTAAACCCAAAGTATCGCCAGTTAATTTCCCACCAATGTTCTCCAGTCTTGCACCTGTCACTTTCGCCACTGAATTCCCACTAGGAATCAATAAAAGAGGCTTTTCATCGTCAATTTCCTGTTGAGGGTCACTTAACGACGGGTCTTTCGTTTCGATTGGCCACTTAACAGGAATTAAATCGTCCGTACTTGCGGTAATGTCGGGTATCGTGGTATGCTCGTTTTTGTTTAGTTCTAATGTTTTATTTGTGACGTCACTATTGTTTGTTATTACATTTGTTTTGTCATTATTGCTTTTGTTCGATTTATTCGATGTATTGTATTTTTTATTGTTTACGTCATTAATGACGTCACAGTGTGTATTTCCCGAGTGGTTATTGTTCTTTGTGCTTTCGTAATTGTTTTTCTTTGTGACGTCATTTTTCTTTCCCGCGCTTTTTGTTTGTTCAATAATAGCGCTTGCTGGTTTAAATTCTTCAATTTCGACTTGCTCGTTGAATGTGACTCGTTTGTTGTTCTCGGTTTGTTTCGTCTGAGAAAGGATTCCTGCAAAATTATGAAGTATGATAAGTAGTGTTATGAGTGCTGCTCAGGCTGTGGTTAGTTGCAACGCTTCTATCAGTACTGTTTATACTTTCAGCTGGAGGTTAAATGCTATGGCTGTGGGGAAATCATTATATGTTTCTAATTTTTCAACCTAATTCCACTTAGTAGTTCAGGGATATGAGCCTTGATTTGGGCAAACTCATATCAATGACTATATATAGTTCTGGATCATTAGGGGCTTAGAATCCTTCCATCAGATTGTTTCTAGTTGTAGCTGACGACTCGTTTTAAAAATTGGGATCCGGGTTTTCAATCACAATTTCACGACCGGTGTTGGAATTGTTTAGAGGTCAGAGTGGAGAACCGGAATTGTGTGCCGGAGTCGGAGTCAAAACAGATTTAAAATCAGGATCGAATCCGGAGTTGATGTCGATTTTTATCAACTCGGAGCTGGGTTTATGAGGGCTTTATTGCATGTTAGATTAAAAATTAGAGGCTTTTTACCTTTTATATCACTCTTAGTCATAGCTTTGCTCTCGGAATATCTTCGATTTCGTGATGTCACAGATTTATGAGATACTTGTGACGTAATCGTGACGTAATCACTACGTGATCGTCCTATAATAACAGTCGCAGCTGCTGGTCGTCTTTTCTTGGATTTCAATCGTAGTGAACGACAATATGACGTCACAAATGATTTTTCCGGTTTTTCCTCTTTATGTTTAGGAGGGCGTGGCCCTACACTTGCAAGCTGATTGGTTGGTATTCCCAGTTCCAGACACGCCTTTCTTGCATGCAATGATGTGTAACGCACCTCCCCTATAAAGTAAAAAGGACATTTTGATACAAAAAATCAATAAGTGTTATAAATAAAACAACTACGAGGCAGGGAATTCCACGGAATCTTCGGAAAAATATTTTAACATAAAGTGTCTATCATTGTTTATAAGCGAGTGATACAGCCAAATTCATTACATTAATCTACAAGAGAGCGTATAAGGACACGATATCCAAAACGTAACTGCGACAAGGTGCGCAATTTTGATGACGTAATCGCACACAAGAAACGAATCTCAAAAGTCTACAGAAATTTTTGGAATAAATAAAAGTAATAGTATTTTAGCGAAAAATACCATCTCTAACAATTGAAAATGTCAAAGCAATCGGTCATATAATTGATGAGAATATAACGATTTTTCCACAACAACAAGGAAACTAACAACATTATGATCAACAACGACATAATAACAAAACGATTCATAGGCCCACTTCGAAGCTTCCGGAGTATGTGAACCAAAATGGCGCACAACCTGAACATCAGTATGTGTACCAGGTTAGGGTTCAGGTTGTGCGCCATCTTGGTTCACACACTTCGGAAGCACTCCCACTTCATGTCCAATAAATAACCTTTCGCCATCGTTTCCCTAAACAACAATATGGAACCGAGATAATTCCAGCACTTTCAAGACTTTCAAGACTGAAAATCATTCACTCGATCGACTAAATACATTACCACATGACTATGAAGCGAAAAGATTCCTGTCTTTTCAAACATGAAAGTGACACGTTTTTTTGTGATTCCTAGTGCAAAGTCTTATTCTAAGCGATACTACAAATTCCTTGATAAAAAGATTGCCACAAGACCTATAACTACCGCACATTTGCTTAAAAAACTCGAATAGCTGAAGTTAAATACTTTTTTATGAAAAGGCTCTAAATAAGCGGACGTGAAGATATACCCTATACCCTATCTGCTTGCACAGTGCCTCCTTCTAAGCGATAATGAAAAATAATTTTATAAAACGTTTTTCATAATCGATCTCTCGCTACCTCGTAACCACACGGACTTGGACAAATATTTATAATAACCGCGTCTTCTTCTGGCCCGACAATCATTGTTACGTAACAAAACGTCTATTGTTGCTAATTATTTTTTTCTGATTGTTACGTCACAATAAAGTCGTAACCGCGTTCGAACCACAATCGAACAATAGAAAAGCCGAGTAAATATTGAAAATCCTTTATGATTCTATAATGGATTAGATTGAAATGCTTAGATCTGGATTGTATCGTCATAATAAAATTTAACCGGTTGGTATAAATTTTATTCCCGTTTCAACATAGGCCATTGATGAAGGAATGAATATATAGAAACAAACATGTTTTAAGATTGACAATGAATTCAAAATTGCGTTTTGGACGGGGCGCAAAAAGGGCGAACTGTCTCAATCGTAAAATGTCTCAATAAAATTATTTCAAATTGATACTAATTTAAACTCGTTTTTTTACTTGAATAATAACGAACAAGTATCTAATTTGAACAACAGTCATGTTAAATTGCCAACAAACCATCAAGGGGGCGCAGTTTTATGTAAGATACGTCACTGGCTGCAAACTATGCGTTCACATTGGACGCCGCAATAATTTCAGGTCTGAATTACTAAAGTCAATCACTTAAATTATATTCATGTGCAGGTCAGCGTGTTTATATTGTACATTCATGGAATTATGTTCGATTGCTTTCAAATATTTCGAAATTTTCTACGGGACCTAGTATTTCATTCCAATTTTGCTGTTTTAGTACTTTAATGGTCTTGCGAAATATTGTTGGTATTCTCGTGACCTACTGAGAAATATTGAGTAACAATCTTTTATTTTCTAACAGTTTATAATTTTCTAATTCTTACTATTCGGGGCGTTTCTACTTGGTTTTGTTGATTTAAGCCAAAGGATTGAATCCCTTTTCAATGAGGGATTTGTTAAGTAACAATAGGGCTTTGAATACATTATTAAGGAATAATGGGATATTATACTTCACCATCTGGCTAACTAAGTGTTTTAAAAATCGTTCGGTTTATCAGAAAAATAGGGGATTGCGAGAAGTTCCACTCAACTCCAGAGTATTCAGCAATCCGGATCCGGTACACACTATGAGTTAATAAAAAATTTGATCCCGAATTCGGAAAAAATAGGCTGCTAGGAAGTAAACGGTATAGGTTTATGAGAAATTTCGAATGTTTAAAAGGGCGCTCCGGAAGTAATCGTATCAAGATGACGCATAACCTGAACCCTAACCTGGTGCACATACTATATTCAGGTTGTGTGCCATCTTGGTACGAATACTTCGGAAGCACGTTTAAGAGACCTGATGCAGATGAGGCGACTTTATTTTAAGTAAAATTCAACTTTGTTTTTTTTATAGAATTCCGGAGTGCTGATCGGCGGATTTCATAGCAAAATAGCCTGCTAAGGGCTAAAAAGTTTCATTTTCTTACATCTTCCCTCACAAACGAGACTGTGAATAAGAAACCTCTGATATGCGAAGATCTACTACTATTTGGAAGGGCTGGGATCTTCTTGTTTGGCCTTATTTACTGAATTTATTACACGCTGTGTAGTAGACGTCTTTGCAAAGTCATTATTGCTTCATTTACCTGTTCGAAACCGTTTATTTGTTTCCTTGTTCAAACTCACCTGGCCTTGTACCGTCTAGAAGTTCTTGTTAGAGCTATACATGTGGGAATTTGCTCGGATGATTTATTGGCGACGATTATTAGCGTTGTAAATATAAACGTATGGACTATGAGACAACTACGTGGGACCTGGGAAGTCTTGAAACAAAAAATATAACACTCTTATAGCGACTATTTTCGGACCTTTTGCACAAAGCCCCTGCCATAAAAAACAACCCCTGCACTGGTCAAAATAAAAAAAATATTTAGTAATTCCCCTGTTAGGGTTGATAATGAAAATTTCGCTGGGAATTCAAATTTCCCAATCATTTCTAACCCTAACTGAATAATTATTAATTTGATACTTTAAAACGTGGCAGAGTTTTTTCTACGAACGATCTGTAGTTTATTCGCATTTTGGAAGTGATTCGTTCAGTAGTTAAAAATAAAACAATTTTGCACAACAAAACCAAAATTTTTGCAAAACGATCGACAGGATCACTTTGTGTCTACAATAAAACTTCGTGTAAACAATGAAATATCTATTATGTCAAAATTTTGATTTACACAATTTGTCTTATCTTGTCCTAATATTTGCATCGTGTGTAGCGGGTACCGGTACCGTAGTGTGTTGATAGCAAGGAATACTCATCGACATAGTAGAAACCCATTACTATCTGAGGTTGTTGAATCTACACTCACTAAAATTTACTGAGCCCTATGAAATTCTTACTAAAACTGAATAAATCACACTAAACTGTTTATCTTACTCTGGGGGTTCATGCGGGTTATTACAGACAGTGACCCCAGATTTTTTTTTTGACATTTTCTAAGTGCAATGTGGCATTTGCCGTAAGACATAAATTCATATGCCTTTTCCAATAGGATTTTGCTCTATTCTTGAACGATTTACTAAATAAAAACTGGACGTTTCTTGGCTTGCTAATCAATAATAACGAGCATGAAAATGCGACATTAGTGTCAGCTGTTATCTAGGCTAGCTCGGCAAAAAAAGCACGAGTAAGCATCGTAGTACGTCATTATACAAAAAAATATGGGCCCCCTCTCCCAATTTAGGGATGGCTATGCTCTTGCCGTGGCCCGTTTCAACGACTTTCAACACTTGTGGGCCCCTGTCTAAGTTTGAACTGGATTCCATCAGTTATTTCATCCGCCACGTTCAATAATAAGATGCCAATAAACAATTTTAAAAGAATAAATCATAACCACATAAGAACAACATACCCTACAACTAATCAAAATAATCACTTCCGATTAATGTAGTTATCGTGAATGGTACTCAGTGGAGGCTTTGCCTAGCCCTAAAAGAACCGATCAGCGGCCACCAGGGCTCATGTGAGAACCTTTGACATAGTCCTTCCCCCCTATATATTTTTGATAGTGTGCATGGAAGGTCCTGTGCGCGAAATTGGATAAGCGACGTGCGGCAGACTGTTGCTGTTGGAGTCATCAAGGAGACTTCCAAAAAGTGCTCAAATGTGGAAGAAACCGAGGCAACAGCAAAAGTCAATACAAACGGAAAGGAATGACTGGAAGCTAAAAAAAAGTCCTTTGTACTAGAAAAAGCTAAAAAGGCTACAGTAGCCTAGCCTTGGACCAAATAATGCTTGAGTCACTGGCAAACGATCAGTGATTGTTCAAGCCCTGTGACCATCATCTTACAGATGGTGTATCGTGTATATTACAGTGCTCCCAAACTTTTTATAGTCAATGACCTCATGGGAGGTTTTTAGAACTCATGGCCCCCAGTTTATCATTCCGGTGGTATTTATAGGGTCATTTTGATTGGTAGATTCCAAATCCAAATATGTTCAAAGCAATCCATGCTCAACAAAGTGAAAGCAACCCTGGCCCAAAATGAATATGGTACCTCCATCCTTTGCGTATCAGTGAGAACGTCCCATAAGAGGAATTTGTGATAAACAAATAACTCACCTGTAAGCATATTCTTATGTTGGGGTTCGGTTCGTCTTCGTCTTTGCAAACGAACATCTTGAGTTCGTGTTTCGGACATCAGAGTTGCCATATTCTAATAATGTCGTCAGCTTAGTTAGCTATCGATACATTCACAATTCTAGAAATTGTAAAAGTGAAAAGTGAACAGAAGAACACTAATTAACAAGTTCTATCTATAGTCCAGTAGTTCTCAAATTTTTAAGCCGCACCCTCTCTTTTAGAATTTGACAAGCCCCATCTCGAGAATCACTAGCTAACAATATGCTACAAATAATAAAATAGTGAAACAAAAGTTTGTTTTATTAAAAAAACACGTTGAAAATACGTGGATGGAACGTGAATAACTAAAATAAAGAAATGTAAATATCTAAAGTAAAGCGGGCAGGATCAAATTCAACGAACATTTTTTTTTTTTTGATTAGCTTCACGTCCCTCAAAAAATTGTCCACGCTCTCTTTGTGGGCCGTTCAAGAGCCTCTGATCTATACTACGTATACTGTTATTCAAAAAGTTGTAGAAATTGTAAAACGGAATAAACTTTCTTTACTTTTGAGCACAACTGGTGAGGAACAAGCTATTCAAGTTTAGTCAACGTTTCGAATGGCCATGTGGACAAATTCCGCAATGGCAACGAATACCCAATGTACAGTATGAATGTTTTCCCGACCCCTGACCCCAGAAATTTTTTTCCTATACTTTACTATAGCAAAATTCTAGATGCTCTTTTTGCGTGTGTTTTGGAGAGTTAACACTTACAAACTGTTTTACATGCCCAAAACCATTACTTTGAATACAGTATACAATCAAGTGCCGATTATACGTACCATTGTACCAATATGATAGCTCATCACAGTCTATCTCAGCTTTTCCAGGGCTAATTTTTGATTATTGCATCTAAGACAATCAAAATACTTCATTTACAACTAATTTTTGGGAACACAACTGAAAACTGACAAATAACACGCAAAACCGCAAAAACGAGGCAGTGTTTACAACCATGCTTGAATATCTATCTGAGAGAACGAAGTGTCAAAGCGACTGCAAAAAGTACAATTGTTACGACACCGTTGATGTTTGTTGATTGGTCATTGTTACGGAAATAAACAAGAAAATCGATGCTCAAAAAAACCCATAACATAGTATATCCATAGGGGTTTGAAACGTTAAGCCAGCTAAACTACATCGTTTGCTTCTTGCACTTCATTCATTTACCCCTTTATCACCCTGAACAAGCCAGGATAGCACCTCTCGCTAGAAATTTATTTTCTTACTATTATGCGCCTTGCTTTCGCGCGAACCATAATTTCAAAACAAACCCCGACCTTCGCGTTTCAACTGATATAACGAAGTTGACAAATGCGACACAAGACAGGCGCCTCTGTTTATACTATTAATAAAATGAGAAATTTCATTGGCATTGTGGTATGTATTTAGACGTAACAGGTTTTGCGAATGCGTTAGTCCGTGTTTATACTATTAAAAATACCAGAAATTTTAGTAGAAATTGTGCAAAACTGTAATGCGTGGTACTTTACCTTTGGCTGAATCGGGAATGGATCGCTAAACCGCGCGAGGTGACCTAGCGGAGATAGCGTTAGATCTAAGTATGCTTGCATTGTGGGATTATAATATCTCGGAGTTAAAAGGCTAGGTAGAAGCGGGAAAATTCCGGAAGTGCCAATAATACAGCAGCTCATTGGGCATCAGTGACGTAATAAGTGGCAATATGTACCTATTATCCGTGGCCAGTGGTTCCTGCTAGACTAGCTACCTGGGATCTTTTGTACAAAGCCCCGCCCACGTTCAAAACAAGAAGAATAGTAATTACTTATCGATTTTAATCGGTAAGTATGTTGATAAGTATTTGTATGTCTGTTAGATGCACGCGATATCTCACGAAAGCGAGATTGAATCTGCTCCAGATTTTGCATGTGCATTCATCATATCTCGGACCAGAAGCCCATTGATTTTGGGCGAATTATGTCGTATAATGAGCGAGTTATTAATTAATTAGTGATGGGACACAAGGCGTCACTATGGAGTAAGAGCGCTGTTTTGGGATACCCCAACTTTCGATCGATAAGTCTTCGGTCTCTGACCGATATCCTGTTCTACAGTTAGGGTGAGAAATGCAGATTGCGTGAGAAATTTTTAAATCATTCGTAACCCCAACCCTAATTAAAACTGAATAGTTCCTAATTTTCTATTTCAAAACGTGGCGAGGGTGTTTCCTTAGATCTCATTAGGGACGGGGCTTTGTTCAAGAGATCCTCTACCTGTCCTTTTAAAGATCCGTATTTGCGAATAATGCAAGAGTGCTGTAGTTATATTATTCAAGGGTCTTGCTGCGCATATTACAAATGTATTTCTGTAACGTTTTTAATGTCCAAGGTATATTAATCCGGTTGTCTAGACTAGAGAAAGTCTGGCCTAGGCAAGAGTGTGTCACTTAAAATTTCATATAGCAGAACTGTACTCTTCAAACTCAAATTGAATAAGACAAGCGCGGTAGTGCTCTTTTCCTTTAACAAAAGTGACAATGTATCAAAAAATTAACGTAACGATAAGCTTATTTATTTAACTCGCCTGAATAGGAGTTGTGGTCGCGTTCGTCAATATTAGCGATCATCGATGTGAAAGCGCTTCGACTGGCAGATTTTATGTTTGGATGTTGTCGTGGCAACAGACGGTTTTGATTTTTCGTTGACTCAATGGTCTGGTATTTATTTTGTTGGACTTGCAAGTTACATCTAGGGATGGGCATTTTCGAATACCTGGTGATTTCAGAATCGAATCGAATCTCGAATACACAAAAAAAGTTTTCATCAATAACTCACTACAGAAAAGAGTCATATGTCAGTATTGCGTTGAAAAAATATGGCTACAATGAAAAAAAATTGAGAAATTCACATCGACCTCTGGCGAAAAGAAAAAAAAAACAAGATGGCAGTTGGTTGTATAGCCCGCCAACAAAAATGTTGCACACCCCTGGTGTTGGCCAAAGCCGAAACAGAAGGATTCCGCCTTTCTCTAAACACTGGCGTCTTATGTATCAGTAGCTGATTTGCTAAAAAACTCTTCCAAAATCCAAAATTCTCATTTGGAAATAACAGAACAATCACAACTTTCCTTTTGAAATCACTCTAACATCAAATCGCATGAACCCGAAATCGCCACACAGTGCTTAGTTTTTAACTTTGATGTCGCCATCGCACAAAAAAACAACTAATCATATAGAATTATAGAGCCCACAGAAATCTTTGAAATTAATAGGAGTAATAGCTTTCTAGCGAAATAACAATCTTAAACAGCTGAAAATTTGGTTCAGTAATTAAAGAGAAAGCGATTTTGTCATAAAAACAAGAATACAAAATGACAAAACGATCCATAGGCACATTTCGTGTCCAATAATTGCAACAGAACTTTATGCATACCCTGTACTACAATTTACAATGTTTAGTAAATACTAACACTACGGCACCTTTGTCTGGCTATCAAACAACAAGTGGTTAAGTGTGGAAATATCAATCAATAGTTTTACAGCGTGAAGGGTGCTTGAGGTTAATCGTTTACGATGGCCTGAGGTTTACACACATTATATATATATATCAGAGAGTCCTGTCATAGCAAGGCCACGCGCTTTTACTTAGAAAGAGACTCATCTCTAGGCAAAGTTAGGGTACTCACTCAGAAGTAAAGGAGACTCATCTTTAAGCAAAGTTACAGGCACTCACTCAGAAGTAATGCAGACTTATCTCTGAGCAAAGTTACGGACACTCACTCAGAAGTAATGCAAACTTATCTCTGAGCAAAGTTACGGGCACTCACTCAGAAGTAAAGGAGACTCATCTCTGAGCAAAGTTACGTACACTCACTCAGAAGTAAAGGAGACTCAATTCTGAGCAAAGTTACAGGCACTCACTCAGAAGTAATGCAGACTTATCTCTGAGCAAAGTTACGGACACTCACTCAGAAGTAAAGAAGACTCATCTTTGAGCAAAGTTACAGGCACTCACTCAGAAGTAAAGAAGACTCATCTCTGAGCAAAGTTACGGACACTCACTCAGAAATAAAGGAAACTTATCTCTGAGCAAAGTTACAGACACTCACTCAGAAGTAATGGAGACTCGTCGCTGAGCAAAAATACAGGTAATCACATATATGTCAATAACTACCGAAAACGATATATATAGTAGAAGCTCATTGCCATTCCGAGATATATGGGAATTTAATGTATATCAAGTTTGAGTTCTTGAATTCAAAACGGACACCCATAATGAAATCACTCACAATTCTGCTATAAATTGTCTTACCGAAGTAAATGTCTGATCAATCATGAGTTACAATGCCTACCAGAATCGAATTCCTGTTTCACCTCTGTCTGGCATCACACAACAAGTGGTCAAGTATGGAAATATGAACCAATAGTTTAACAATGTGAAGAGTGCTTGAGGTTAATCGTTTACGATGGACCGAGTTTCACATTGCTGAGGGCCGAGGGATTGCAAAGTGTGGTACGTTCTCTCGCGTCTACTCATTTGTCAGAAATTCTGGTTTTATTTCCCAGACTTTTAAAATTCTGTCGTATTTACTATCTGTAATAGAAATCACCACGGTGAAAAAAGTCTACAGCGATTCCTGTTTCAACGCATTTTCATTTTTGTCCCGGGGAGTCGATAACAAGTCTCGCGAAAAGGCGGTCTGTTGGGTGTGGTGTAAAGAACTGATAGTCCATATGGCATGGACTTATAGTAGAGCCGTAATGGAGACCAGCAGTCCTTTCACATACGAATGGAATTTTGGTGGAGAGAGCCGTAACACAGTAATGGTTAAGTGAGAAGTCCAGCAGTCTCGATGCTTTTTCAGCACGAATGTTTAGGCTCGACATTAAAAGGCTATCTCATGAACGTATATGTCCTGACGGGATTGAAAACCCCGGACAAAGTAATTAGTTCTTCGCACACTATACCTACCTTTTTTTTCAATTTTTTACCAACTTGGAACGAATCCATAATTTCATTCAAATTTTCTATACATTAGTTATATTGTCTGGGGACCAGCCAAGCGACTCCCGTAGTATTTGTACCTAGAATTATTGCCCAACCCTGACCTGGTACACATATAACGTTCCGGTGTCAGCCATCTTTGTTCATCGACTTCGGGAGTACCGGGTAAAAATACATAATACATAAAGACTAAGCGATAGCCGCATTTTCTCCTCTCGCCTTTCCAAGAGACGCTCTGGTTCTCGCCAAGAAGACAATTTTTGACCCAATCGCAGCAAATCGTGCAATAACGTTATTAAACAAGGTAGTAAATCTTCATCAACACAAGCCGGTTCTACATTTCACGTTTTGCTATATTTTTACATGAAATTTTTCGTACTGCACAATTTTACGATTATGGCGTGGAAATTAACGATTGAAGATAGCTAAGCAGTAGAGATGAACTAGGGGGAAACGGTCAAATAAAGGGGTGTGTGTAGGGAGGTTCCCGTTTCAAGGTCAAATAAGAGGATGTTGAAGGACAAATAACGAAAGTGTCCGTCAAGTCTATTCCCGTTCCCGTTTCAAGGTCAAATAAAGGGTGTGTGTTAAAGGGCGTTTCAGGCTTCGAAAGCCCAAATGAAAAAAGCTTTGGGGCAACAGGCCTGTAAAGACCTCGACCCACACCACAATTTACCTAATTTGGTCTTAAATGGGAGAATATTGACAAAAAAATTAAAATGGAACATGAACTACTAGTGTCGTCCGTTGATTGACAAATATAAAAGCGAGCAAAACTAAAACTTATTTCAACTTGAGCACTGCACAAGACATGATATATGAAAAAAAGGAAATTGGGGGCACTGTAGCTAAAAATAAACATTTTCTGGGCTCCCAGTTTAGCAGCTTTTACATTGTATAGGTTGGGATAAACTTCCTTAACCCAAGGTTTTCATACATATCCTAAAATAACCCAAAATGAACAAATAAAACTGAAAATTTAGTTGTAAATAGTGCTGGGCAGTTTGGAAGCAAATAGTAAATTATTCGAATCGTTCAAACGGGATTTGAAATCGCCGCCATTTTGTTTTTTATTTGGCCAAACATGTTCCAGTTGAGTTGGTCAATTTTTTCATTTAATCAATATTTTTACAATGTGATTCTGACATTTTTTCTTTCTTGCGAGGTGTTGACGAAACATCTTATTGTTTGTGAACAATCAGAGAAATTGCCAAGAGTTATGGATTCTATGTTTTCAGTAATTTATGTGCCGAGGACCCATCACGATTAAAAAGTCACATTTGAATATTTTCTAAATATTCGAGATTCGAAAAAATAGGAAATCCGAAGGTATGTGCACCAAGATGGTGCACAACCTGAAAGCTAACCTGGTACAATACTACGTTCAGGTTGTGCGCCATCTTCGGGAGCGTCAAATAATATTATTTTACATTTTAAATGCCCAGCTCTAGTTGTGAAGCAATAAATACTCTTACCCGATATGCGAGAAATTAAAAATTTTTTTTTTTTCATTCTGCTCATTTTCAGTTAGAATACTACCCTGTTATTGCCAATCATTAATTTTCAGAATCGGTTTCAGTTTATGTTAGATTAAAATAAGTTGGGTTAGGTAATTTTCCCCCCCTACACAGAATCAAATAAAAATTAACAAGAGGGTATCCTCTACTTCATTGCAGTACACAAAATATTCTAGCCTCGGTATAAATGCAACATTCAAAATAACTACAAGACATTTCAAACAAAAAATGTTGGTGTAAATTTTTTTCAACTCTAGCGCTGCATTTCTTGCATAATTAACAAATGGATATATTATTAAGGGGGATGACAAAATTCAGGGCGTGGAGTCGAAAAACAGCGAGAAGAACCTAGATTGTGTTTGATAATTTGATAAGCACAGGCATTGTACAATTTCTTGTTGAACTTGAGCCCTGAATTACAATTCTGTTTTCTTCAACTTTTCACTGCTTGAGTGTTGTTTGATGTAGTCGACAAAATTTTGTACTTCGCGACCTCCCTGGAATAAAAAAATTTGACAACTTGTTGTATGCAGTGACTCATTTGGAAGTAAATCACGGGAGTAAAAGTGACCGTTGGCCATTAAAACTGAATTACTGAAAACTGGCCATTATGCTTAAGCAACACTTCAGGGCATTCACGACACAACTTGTCAGATATTGGTACGCAGTGTCACCTCTGTAGTCTTAACGACTTGATGTAGTTGCTGTTTATCGTTATTATAATTGGTATTTTATTTAGAGTATTTTGAAATGCAAAAGAACGTAATAAAATACTTATTAGCATTGTTTATTACGGAAAAAAGTTAGTGGTCGCCAATCTTGAAACAAAATATATTCGACTACCGAGATATCATTGTACATCAGTTTACGGAGTTTAAAGTTACCACTGTCTGGGAAAAGGGTAAACATTATGGAATTCCACAACGCTAATATTAATTATATTGGAAACGAGATCTTCTGTAAAGTGGGAATTCAACTTTGAGTTAATTTCATGAATGAACCCAAAACAAAAAAATTTTTAGCAGTGAGATTTTCCGTTATTCAGTTACAAACCTGCTAGCTTAATTTTTCACATTCATTATTTGACAGTAAAATAAAATTGCAAAAAATACTTAACTTAATTTAATTTCAATGCACTCTGCGACAGTTGAAAATTGAATATCAGTCAACATGCTCGAAAAATTTATTCGTTGTGCAATCAATGAATTCTAATTATTTACATATTCATGTTGCTTATTTTATGAAAAAAATGAAATAGTTTATTGTATTTGACTATTTTTTCATGTAATATTCAATCAGATATAATAAACCATTCTGCAATTTTGTATACTGGGAAAACCAATTCCTAATTAAATCAAAATTGTTTGTGTGTGATTGTATCCAAAAGGTTCTTCAGTGAATCAGGAGGCTGCTCAAAAGTTAGTTCTCTCCAGAACAGTGGTTCTGTCAACCTCTTAATGACTGCGTACCTACAGTTTTTTTACTCTGGTCGCCTAACACCAACAAAGCCCCCGTTTCATGGGGTAGTGAACAATGGCACATGAAACACGCTATGGGAGTATTTTATAATGTGACACATCATTTGTGATATAAAACATGAAATATTCAAAAAAAGGACCGGTAGTGCTATAAACGTTATTTAGCGAATACATACATTATGAAATATATAGAGAAAGCGAGAATGTTTTATCAACTCAAAAGTTTTTTGTCGCAATACTTCAAAGCTGGTCGCGTACTACGGGAAAGGCCCAGCGTACCACTAGTGGTACAATACCACTGCTCTAGAACCTGTTCCAAATAACCCAGGTTCTCTATTTTCCCACCCTGTATGTGTTTTTTACCCCGTATGCAAAAATAGCATCCAACTATACTTACATTGTACTTGACAGGGTTTTCCTTGTTATCCTTGGGAGCCCAGTAGATTGTGGGGAATCCAGAGACTTGGTAATTAGACGGAACCTCGTTAGCTGTGGCGTCCATCTTTGCAATCACAAGATCATCAACGGCTTTCAACTGAAATTTTAACAAGTTTCCGTTATTTTACATGATTTATAAAGTTGATCCTATGAAGGGGTTTGAGATTTGACTCATTTACGTAGTGAGGCAAACGATTGAACCATCTTATGGACATGTGGTTCCCAACCTTTCAGAGCTAGTCGCCCCCTTCCGGCAGCTATTCGCACTCACGCCCCACGTTTTCATTCCAGTGCTATTTATATTGTTATTATGATTGGTATATTTCGAATCCTATTATGTTCAAAAAATTCATGCTCAACAAAGTGGAAATACCCTGTGAAATAGGCGATGAAATTATGAAGAACAGGGAATTTTATTATAAAGGGAAAAAGAAAATCAGTTTTGAGCCTAGCATTGTGGCCCTCCTACTGCTCTGCGGCCCACTTGGTGGGCCACGGGCCCCCGGTTGGGAACTGCTGTTATAGACTTTCCTTCCCCACAAGATGAATACGGAAATCCTATCCCTAACTCTTACCATACCCGACATGGATTGGTAATATCTCCCTCAGGATGTATATTCTATCCAAGTTGGACTGTTTAGCGCAGTGTTTCTCAAACTGTGTTCAGGGGAACAGGGAAATTGCGACTAAATTGGTCACCATCGAGATCTCGGTTGTACTTTGGCTACTCTGCCATCTGAACAGGCGGACTGGCTACTTGCCAGTCATGAAGTTCTTAGTAACCGTACAATATTGCTAACTGTTGGCCTAACTTCCTAATTCATGTTTACAGGAAACCTTTTAGTTTCATCATAGGCTGAATCTTTAGCCACCAGAGTTCCCTCTGAGGTGTGCGCGCACACACAGCTTTCAGAGGCTGCGCACACGCATAGATTTACTGCGCACTGAAGTACTTCGATGTAATGTAACAATGTTCTCGATTGGCTGGTTGAGAAAGTTTGTTGTTGGCCCACCCATTACCCGGTTAGAACGCCAAAATTTCTTCTTTAACTTTTGCACAAATATTAGTCATTTCCAAAAAAGTGCGCACTCACCAAAATTTCTGCGCACACATACTACAAAAAATTAGAGGGAACATTGGACACCACCCATCGATTCTACCTTCTAAGGTCTTGGTGTTCCGCAAGGCGAGATAAAAAAACATAGGCGTAACATAGGAGCAAAATTTGAGAAGCACTGGTTTAGTGGATAAGAAGCCATGATTCGCATATGATTAAGCCTTCATATAGGCTTTTCTTTCCCCTGGTCATCATACCCGACCCGGACTGGTTACCGGACAGAAGTTCATGGTTAATGATCTCATCGAATTCCCCCCATTCACAAATACTATCCAGTAGCTTCACCCACCTTTTCTCCAAGTTCATCAAATTTCGGAGCCAGACTCTTGCAATGTCCGCACCACGGGGCGTAGAATTCAATCAGAACATCTTTGTTTTGGTCGTTAACGATCTGGTCGAAAGACTCCCCGACGACAACGGTAACTGGTCCATCCTGAGACTCTGGGACTGGTTCGGATTTGATCTTTGCGGTCAGCTTGCCATCGATGTAAGCTTTTACAAAAGCTTTCAAATTGTCAGTGCTGGAAATATTAAAAAGTGTTGAATATAGAATAGTGACCTTACTGAACATGACCAAATAGTACAGGGTCTCTGAACCTTCATGATTCATCGACATATTTGGCATCAGGAATATGCTTTTTACAAAAGCTTCCAAATTGTTAGTGCTAGAAATATTAAGACTAGCGTTTAATATATAATAAAACATGAAAAAATATAATATAAACAGGCCTCGTGCAAGCCTGGGACGCATAGCGTTTTCGTTAATCGTCCGGCAAGTTTACAACCACAAGGCTAATTTTTTTGAAACTACCCTTCTCAATGGATTGTTGGCTTAAACCTCGAAGCCTCAAAAGATGTCATGATAAGCCGGCTGTGCAAGTTGACGTACAAAGTATATCCATTACACTATCTTTACCTTCTTATTTCTTCGTTGTCTAGCAAGGCGAAATAAAAAGTAATGGGTGTTCCGGGACCAAAAAAAGGTTTGGGAAACGCTGGGCTAGACCCCAGTTCAGTGGTTCCAAACCTTCAATTACTCGTGGCACCCTTTCAGGGGCTTTTAGCACTAATGCTCCCCTTGTTTATCATTCCGATAAAACACCCTGTGAATTAACCTTATCAAGCAATGAAATTAGGAAGAACAGGAATTTACTTGTAAAGTGAAGAGGAAAATCTGTTTTGTGCCTAGCTTTGTGGCCCCTGTGCTGTGCCCCGGGCCCCCGGTTAAGAAATGCAGCTCTAGTTCATAGCCCACACCCACCTGAACTCCTCTTCCATGATGTACTTTTTGTCTTTGTCATCTCTGATCATAACGACAGGTTTTTCACTGAATTTATCCTGAAGTCCGACATCAGTGAGAAGTTGTCCGAAGTCATCAACGCTTGCGACAGAAAGAGTGATGTCTTTGTCATTTGCTCCGAATTTCATGACTCTTTAAAAAAAAAAAATGATGAGTAAAGCTAAGCATAAGAGAGAATGTTAGTCTGAATTTGGTAGCTCCATATAAAGTGAAACGAAACACGAGATATCGAAGTGAATCTGAGCTTTACGTATCAGCTTCCATTACGTGCAAGCTGTCTAAGCATCTTTCTATGTTTATTATTTGCAGGAGATCAAGATACTCTTTCACATAAAAAGAAATTCTTTGTATATTTCTGGACTTCGACATACTTTTAATTACACATTTAAAATAAACCATGTTGTGAAATAGAAGATGAACAAAAGCAACATGATGATGTGTTTACTAAAACTTTTATCAAGCATGCATTTCAAGTTTCAATGATTTCATTTAGTGTGGAAATACTTTAGTCACAACATAAACCTGAAATTAACATATTATTAATCAAAAATAAGATTCACAAATAGGAGTTCGCGGCCCAAAAAGTTCGGGAAACCATGCTCTAGAAAAGATAAAAAACACCAAACCTGTTTCTCCAGTAATTAGTTCCTTTCACATTCTTCTTGTAGTCAACATTGTAGAAGGCAGTAAGCAAAGGTTTCTTGAAGGAGTCTGCATTATCAGGAGTTAAATGTCCGCAAAGTCCGTTGCTTAAAAGTTTGAAAAATTCAAGTTAGATTAGATGCATAATTAGATATACAGGGTGTTCAAAAAGTAGGATATGATTAACATATTTATCCTGGAGGAGAGGGATACCGATAAGACGACTTAATCATATGGTGAACCACATTCTCTTGCATGGAGTCAGTTAGCCAGTTATTTGTTTTCAGAAGCATGGACTTGATGGTGAAGGAAGTTGTAACACTACAGAAGTTACACCACCTGTGGTGAGTAGACCAGCAATCCTCTTACATGTAATCAGTGGTACGGGGGCAAGCATATTCCAAATGCTCTGTATGATGCGCAACACTGTCAAGTCCTGCTACTCTATTTCAATTTAAAGGTTCATCCAACTTTTTTTTATATCATTTAATATACTGTATAAAGGCGTATATGCTCGATTTACCGCCCGGTCTTGATTAAGGGCCCGTTTGAATAGCCGCCCGTGTGAACAAAACATAAACATAAATAAGGGCCGGTGCTTGAATACCCGCCCGATGTAAAAGCTGATTCAGTGGTAGAGAACGATAGGAAATAAGAAGCGCCTTTGTCACAACGCTGTTGAATTTTCAGCGCCGGTAGATAACACTAACGCCTTAGGCGTCCAAGTACATAACAGATAGCATTGATTACGTAACACCATGGTTCTCAAGTGCGTCATTTCAATATTCGTTATTCTCGTTTAAATCATACTTGAGAACTGGAAATAACAATATATTAATTATTGTAACGATCGAAAATAACAAGCGCCCGTGCTTGAATAAGGGCCGGTTTGAATAAGGGCCCGGTTAGTGAGTTGGTTGAAAAGAATATGGGCCCGGGCTACAAAACGAGCAAATACGGTATATGTAGGAGCCAACTTAATAATTAAGGCATTGAGAAACGATTGGGAGTTAGTCTCGTAATCTCTAATGTTAGTAACTTACTAATTTTTCTTCAAGAATGATCTTATAGTTTCAGTTTCAACTTTGCCGTCCATCTTTACAACCGCTTCTTCGAATTTACTGATCATATGCTGGGCACGATAGTAGACCACATCTCCACTGAAATAAAAAAATGATATCGTATCAATTATTCAATGCAAGACAATAAATTTATTTTGTAATGCAAGAAATCGCAGATAACTCAGTCAGACAAACGCGAACTATTATTGCAACAGGGGTGTGCAGCCTGTGGCCCGCGGGCCAAATGTGGCCCTTAAGGAAAAATTGTGCGGGCGAGAAAAATTGCCAATTTATTATTTATTGCTACAGTTATTGTTTTATTGGACAGTTACAAAATCAGCCAAGTCAGTATTTCAAGAAGTAAACGAATAGCTTTGAGGTCAAATTATTGCAACACTTTATTCCAATATCTGAATTGTTATTGTTTATTGCTTGGATGATCCCGGGATAGGGTCCAGCCAGAGGCTTGATGGCCTAATACAGGGGTTCCCAAACTTTTTTCAGGACGACCCCAAGAAGAACTTTCAAGCATCCAGTGCGACCCCAGGTCAATATATATATTTTTCATGAAACTTTAGTTTAGAATTTCTTTCACTGGACTTTTGAGTTTGGTCATGTGGTGGTATTAAGTAAAATAAGCTAAAACCAAACAATGATGTCACAATAAGCACGTACATTTTCTATAGCTTAAGCATAGAGCGATGCTCATGAGCCTGTTTTACAGTAAGCCATGATACAAACTGCTAAATTTACCACGGTTTGTCAAATCTTAAATGATTTGTGTATCCATCCTCTACGATACCTCAGCAACCCCACCGACCCCATGACCTGTTTGCGACCCTACCTACTTATCACTCCGACCCAATTTGGGGTCGCGACCCCTGGTTTGAGAACCCCTGGTCTAATAAAATGCATGTAAAGCTACAGAAGTTGCCAAGTATGATACAGAAGAATGTTATTTTTTTACATTTGAAAAGTGGGGTTCCGACCTCGCAAAACCCCCTTTGGGTACGCTCTGCTGCTTAGTGTGGCAATATCAGGATTTGGAATTCCAAAACAAAAGAAGAAAGTCTAGAGGGCCGATTACAAATATGCCAAATGGAGACAGGTTGCATACACCAGAATTTTGATAGCAAAATCTGGTTTATTAAAGATAATTCTCGACATGACTCGCATTCTGGAAATCGCACGAATATTCCCACATTTCACATCCAAAACTCACCCCTTAAATCCAGCTTTCTTCGAGACATCAGCGTTGAACGAATGTCCGAAAGTATAATGGTCACGTAGAGCAGATGAAGCTGAGGAAAAGGCTTTGAAATCATCATCATCGGCAGAGGAAAAGAAACCTGGAAAATTGAAGTTTGAAACGCGTTATGAGAAAAGATTTTCATATTAATTACGTGGAAAGGAAAACTAATAACATGGCTAATGCAATTCGGCGTTCCCGTAGTATGTGTACCAAGATGGTAGACACCAGAACATAGTATGTGTACCAGGTTAGGGTTAGGCCACAATTTTATTCCAATTTCTCTTATTTTATAAGAGTTCAGGGACTAGCCAAGTGACTCCTGTAGTATTTGAACCTAAAATTATGGCCTAACCCTAACATGGTACACATACTACGTTCCGGTGTCCGCTATCTTGGTTCACATACTTCGGCAGGACCAGATTTTCATATTTATCCCAGGGAGTTGAAAACTGATAACATGGCTGAACCAGTTCTACCAAAATGGATCATCTGGTACTCACAAAGTATGTAAACCAAGATGGCGGACACCGGAACGTAGTATGTGTACCAGGTTAAGGTTTGGCCATGATTTTATTCTAATTTTACTTATTTTAGTTCTATTCGGGGACTAGACAAGTGACTCTGTAGTATTTGTACCTGATATTATGGCCTAACTCTGGTCCCTGACCTGGTACACATACTACGCTTTGGTGTCAGCCATCTTGGTTCACATACTTCGGGACCACCGATCATTTTGTTATTATTGCGTTGTTGTTAATAATTTTAGTATATTTAATTTATTTCTTCCCGTTGTTATGGAAAAAAATATCGCATTTCTCATTAACTACTAGACCAATTGCTTTGAAATTTTCAGTGGTTAAAGATTGTATTCTTTGCTAGATCGCTATAACTATTTATTGCGAAACTTCCTGTATACTTCACGGGTATCCGTTTTCACTTACCAATAAGAACTCCAGAATCCCCAGTTTTGAATTTTTCGAATGCTTCAACGTCTTTGAGATCCGTTGTAGCTGGTTGGCTTGCCTTTTTCATGTGTTTCACAATTCCATCTGCCGTAAACAAACAATAAGGTTTGCCTTTCGCACAATTCTATGTAGTCGCAGAAATTTACACCCAATCTCAACTTGGAGTTGGCTTGAATATACAGATCCAGGTGAAGAAAATTTTGACCCCAAATTGCAAACAAAACAATTAACAAATACTTTTGGCGTATGCTTTCTAATTTTATGTTTCGAATTGTAATTGTGAGTCAAATCCAAAGTTTTTAAAGTTACTCAAATTCCGCCTAATTGACTGATCTGAGCAATGCAATGTACAAGCAGATCAGGAAAAGGGGGAATAAGGATCAAATAGGAAAGATCTGATATAGATCAAATTTAGTTTTTCAGAATAATTGCCTAATTTTGAGGAAAATTTAAAATAGTGTCATTTAAAATTTTATTAAGTGCTAATATCATAATTAAAAGTCTCTAAACCAGTTTAGAGTTCAAAGTTTTCTAACTGAGCCCCAAATAGTAAAAGATTCAGGGCCCAAAATTTTCATTGGAAAATTCAAATTTAACCACATAATAAACTTGTTGAAGAACATTTAATTTGTAATTAAAACTGTACGAAAGTATCGGAACATGTGGGAGTACAAAGATTGGCTGCATCACATTAAAGTAAATCGACAGTGCTATATTCAATACTTCGACTGTAATGAATTTTTTTTCAGTTTCATTTAGTTTGTTTTTTATATTAAAGATTGCACTAAAAATAAATGATGGAAATAAATAAAAGGAAAACTAATTATTTTTATAAAAGGGTCGAAGCATGGAGTGTTAAGTTCAGATCTACGCTATTTCCATATTTACCTGCCTCCCTTGGCCCACTGTAATCGGAAGCCATTTTCCCTCCTTGGAAAATTTTAAGCGTGGGGTATCCAGATACACCATATTCTCCGCATGTCCCTGTATTAGCCGTGCAGTCAACCTACCCCCATGCAGAAAAAATAACTATGAAACTACTGCACACACTAAACTAGTTTTATGACAGGGGTGGCAAGGTTTTTGAACCAGGGACAAAAATGTAAGTGTGAAGTAAAAACTTGCACATGGCCGAGACAAAAAAAGAAGGGGGGGGGGGGGATTCAGGTCTAGGGGTTACTATATTGTGAGAAGGCCAAACGATTTATTTAAATAAGTGTTTTACTAGATTTGTTCAAACAGGCCTATAGGCCAAGATACATGTCGATAATATGGCTTTACCATGTGGTAAACAACAGATATTCTAACTATAATAATAGTGAAAACCCCTTTATTTGATTAGAAAAGCCAAAAAAGTTGCTAATAACGTAATTGCTTATTGTTTCTGTCAAAGGGCCATGATTTGTGCATTATGTGCTAGAAAAATCAATATCAGCTGAGAAAGTCAGCTCTTGCATAGAGCGTTTAAATATGATTATCGCGGGACCATTTCAAAAGCTGCTATAAGAGAACTTTCCATCTTTGGTATGAAAAATTCTAAAATCTAGTAGGGGAGTCTTAATAAAGCAAGTCTAAGATTGTAAGACCTAGATATCCTCCAATACCAAACCACATATCTATACTAATCCAACTACCCCACATATCAAACATATTAGGCCACCACCAAGCCCACCTGCCAACCTGCGGCCTCTGTACAGAGCCACCATTTCTCCTCGTTGAAATATTCTTAATGTTGGGTACCCGCCCACTTTGTACTCGCGACACACCTCTTTATTCACAACACAATTTACCTGGCCAGAAAGTTAGTGAAATTTTTCCATGGGTATTTTATTGCCTCTTAATAATGCTTTTGCACAAACTGCCACTCGTGAGTAACCCTTTTATTTTGGAATCTATCAAGTTTGGCATTGCTTGCCCCAGGAGTGTGCATTATTCCAAGTACACAATGGATTAAAAAATTCTCACAATCTTAAAATTTTAGGTATTTAACATTTTAGTGGGGTACTTGAAATTTAAAGTTCTTGCACAGTTTGTTAACATCAGCTTCGACAAAAGGGTACTCCCGTAGTATGTGAACCAAGATGGTGGACACCGGAACGTAGTATGTGTATCAGGTTAGGGTTAGGCCATAATTTTATTCCAATTTTCCTTATTTTAGTTCTATCACAAGTTCGGGGACTAGCCAAGTGATTCTCGTATTTTTACCTGAAATTATGGCCTAACCCTAACCTGGTACACATGCTACATTCCGGTGTCCGCCATCTTGGTACACATACTTCAGGAATACTGACAAAAGTTGTGGCAACCCTTATTGACTGACTGCTCAACGGCATTTTTGAAAAAAAGAGCCAAAAAAACTCCTTCCTTTTTTTAATTTTAGTTCTATTACGAGTTCGGGGACTGTTTGTGTTAGCCAAGTGAATATACCCCCTGCCCATAGGCTTCAGTCCCTTTACACAACTTGATGTAAAGTAGGCTAACAAAATTAGTTACCTCAATATCGGTACACACTTCTGGAGCGCCCAAAAATTAATCTATTATTAAGGGATGCTTACCTTGATCAAAACAGCGCTGGACTTATCTGACTTAAGTGCAGTTGCAGCTTTCTCATATTCGGGTGCAAGTCTTTTGCAATGCCCACACCTGGGGAGGTTAAGAAAATATAAATTAATTAAGGTAAACAACAGTACTGGCTGGGGCATTATAACCTCTTTATTTTTTTGCACATTTTTGATGTTATTCCACAGTTTTTGCAAGGTTTTTCATGTTATCATTCTGCCCAAGGAAATGGCAAAATTTGATCAGCTACAATTTTTTACAAAACCATTTTTTTTTCTAAATTTTATTATTGCATTGCCTATAATTTTTCGATCTTTTTTTTTTTTGATGCTGTCAATCTTGTATTAGAATAGGTTAAAATGGTCAGGCAATATGCACGTATTGACTCACTTTTCTGTTTATATTACTAACCATAAGCTAAAGATGGGACAGAAATAAAGGCAGGGTGAGAACCATTGGCATGCTTTCCCATAACTCAATGGTCCCTTTTGAAGCGTTTGTTGGATTTATACATAAAATCGATCATCTTCAACTTAGTTGCAGGCTTGCAGCCTAATTTGAAACTAGACCATGGCGAGCAGAATAGTGCTTAGAACTGCAGCAAAAAATAATTTAAAGAATAAAATAATGGAACATACCATGGTGCGAAAAATTCAACAAGTGCGATGTCATAAGTTCCAATCTTATTTTTGAAATCGTTGTCTGTGAGTTCTATGACGTCACTCCCCATCGCCACGGCAACCAAACAGGCAAAAATACCAAGTAACTTCATGTTTCTGTTTCTAACTATCCTACCGGTATGTGTAAAAGTAATGAATGACTGAAATTGTCAAAGTGAGATGGTTAGAATAATTCTATTCACTATAATGATCTTGAGTGACAATGCCTCGTATCAGAGAATCCCATTTTGCTGATGAACAGACACCCCTCCTTTCAGGGTCGTTTGAACATGGTTGTCTCTCGATATCAGTAGAAATACAGTAAAATGAAGTCACACAATAAACTAAGAAGCGCAATCTAAAAAAGTTATCATTGAATTCTTTAAAAAAAAAAAATCTGATTTACCATAAAATGTTTTTTAGCATGGCATTGAAGAGTTTTCAGCAAATACGGCCAGACGGCCGCAATAATATAAGATTATTATTGAGACAATCCTGGCACGATGGGACGCATTTGCCGTCATGCCAGGCGACCCTCGTTTGTGAGATATACTCCACATATGTATTAAAAAGTCGGGCCCGACATTCTTGGAATATGAAAACTGTACTCGCAAACCCCTCTTTCAAAGTAAGGACTGGAAAATTTGAGGCCAGTCCACTAAACGCCATCAATTCCTTCTAGTTGGCGTGGCATAAGCATTTTCGCATATGTTATTTCTAACCCCCACCTGACTACATCCTGACATTCAAAAATTGGCAGACTCAGAGACCTGGAGACTGGCCTGTGTAACTGGCCGACTGGAGAAAGTCCAGGAATGGTCTATTACAGCGCTACTCAACTGGCGGACCGTGGTCCGAATCCGGACCTTTCGACCATGAAATTTGGACCGCTCTGCTTGTTTATTTTGGCAGCATAAGCATCGTTTCATAGTTCTGTAGTTTTAGATGATTTTGATACAATTTAAATACACAGCTATACAGCTTATCGTACTGGTACCGTAAAACCGGCTAACTTCGGATGCCTTGTAACTTCGGATGAAATTTTCAATCATTCATATCTCAACTAAATTTCGTCGTATTGCGCTTCTGTCGGTTTCTATAGTAAGGCCTTACATATCTGAATCTGCCGTAGCCTCCAATCGCTCGATTTGATTTTTTATCATTCGAAAAATCATATTTTACCAAAAAAATGACACCGTTTTTTCGAGCGGCTCAAATCGTGACTTCTACAGACGCTACCTTCGTCAAATCACCGCCAAGCGCTAGAGAGCGTACACAATGTATACAAAAAAATACAGTGATCACAAGGTGTCGTACGAGATTCGAGTGAAATCGATTATTTTGATTTAAAAATTACATCAAAATATCGACGTTTTGATGATTACGTACAGCGTGACGTCAACGACGCAAATCCCGTTCTCTCTCTTCGTAGCCGACGTCACTTTGCGTAGCTCGTGCGTTACTCGCTGCGACATTTGAACGCCAGACATCGCGGCGCCCAGTTTTGTGAAATTTAAAAATTATGCTTATCCATGATCCTAGTCACTAAATCCTACAAAAACATCACTATCGTCTCAGTCATATGTTGTTTATTTAAAAATATGGGTATGCATACGCTTAATGCATATGAAATTTGTCGATTTTTGTTTTTGCATACTTCCTCCGACACCGATAGATACCGTAGCAATTGGTAATACGTTAGGCCTGAAACATGTATCTATACGATCATAATGATTAGATATGTCTGTTTATGATCGGCAGATGATAATAATATCTTTAACAGGTGAGCGTAGAACTCTACATACATGCACACAGCAGGAGGTTGGACCACATACAGGTGAGGCGCAAAATGAAAAAAAGTGGCAAAGTTTCTTTTTGCCGTTTTTGTCCGTTCATTGTCATTTGACTTTATTAAGTGAAACGAAAGCGAGGATCGAAAGTCACACCGGGCTGGAACCTCTGCCGAGCCGATCAACGGGGAGCTCTGAGAAAATCAGAAAATATGAAAAGTGATAATCAAGACGAAACCTGCTCTGCTTGTGGATTATGGAATGATCCAAATGGAAGTACGGAAATTGAGGATGAATGGGTCGGTTGCGAAAGCTGCAGCGAAACACATTGGTTCCACAAGAACTGTTGCAAAGACCCGTCTAACCCATGTGGAAATGATTACAATTCTTGATTTGTCAGCGTTTCCTTCAATTCATCTGTTTATTTTTAACTGTCGAATTTTTGTTCATACCTTACTTGTTCCATATTGCTTTTTGATTTCAATTTTTACTTTTGCCAGTGTTTCATTCGATTCATCCGTTTATTTTTAATTGTCTAATTTTTGTTCATTCTTTACTTGTTCCATATTGCATTTCAATTTCAACCTACACCAGTGTTAGGTACTTTCAATTCTTCCGTTTTTTTTTTTTGTTAATCCTTTTCTTGCATTGAAAATAAACGATCATAAAAGAACGAACTAGCATTTTGCAATAAATTAGGAGTAGTTAGTGAAATATATACGAGTTATAATAAAGGACACAAGAATAAATAGTTAAGCTTCGCGAAGCGGCAAGAGTAACGTCACGTACAAACGTCAGTATTCAACACGCAAGACAGGTCGTGGCGGCGTAAGGTCTATTCAGCGACGTTGTCACGCGTCATTGCTTACGCAGACATTTCTCTCTCACGACGAGTTGACGCAAAGAGAAAAGTGGCCATCCGAAGTTAGATAATTTTAGAATAGACGAATAAAGACAATAATTTCAATGAAAAAAGGCTTTGATGGATATGGAACCGACTTTATCAAGACGAGAATAGCCACAATGTATTATATTCCAAATTTGGCTTCAGTTGAACAACATGCGGCGGAGATATTGTTCAAAATATAGTGAAATCATCCGAAGTTAGCCGGTTTTACGGTACCGATGTGCGATATTATTTGTGTCCATATTTGCGAGCCATTCATTGCTCTTGTATTTAATTTAATATTGCATTTTAAGTTTCGTTTATTTGATGGAATAAATTTTCTGTAATGTCCGGACCCTAGTAATTTTGAAGTTTCGTAAACGGACCTTTGGTGAAAATAGTTGAGTAGCCCTGGCCTAGTACTGTAGTATGAGAATAGCTCAGTTCTGCACTTATTAAACCTGACACAGTCAAATGTTGTTTGCTTAGATTAACAGTCAGACAGTAGGCCTACCGGCCGGTACCGGTACCGTATAACATAAAAAAATCATAAATTTTTCCCTGTCATACAACATGTCAGCATGTTCTTGAGGTACAGGAATTTTGACTACTGTAACCTAATACAGTCTAATAGCAAAAATCTAAAATCGTGACATATCTAGTTTTCAGATCTCATCGTCTTATTACAGTATTACCGCTGGTAAAATATAAATTACGCTTACAGACTTACAATTCTTGAATTATAAATACGGCCAGGCGGCTGTGCGGTAATACCGGTGCCTGAATATAATTCACGAAAGACTTATTCGCAACTCAGAATTCTGTCAACCAAATAACATACATGTAAATTTATTAACGACGACATAGATCCTCTTCAAACTACCTAAACCCAACTTCATACTGCCATAACTGCATAAAGTCAATAAAATTCGAAAAATCACGACAAAATCTTTCTTGTGAAGCAGCGGGCCATGGAAATGCAACGTGTGCCTGAAACGACGTCACCCGGTGTTGGAGCAATCTGATTGGCTAATTGGGACTAAAGTCGATGATGCATGAGGCCGCGCCGACAAAATAACTGTTTTCCGATTTGTTTCCTGCGCTGTTATTCTTTCCAAAGTATTTAATTTATTGAGTATTAGGGTTATACTTGAATGGAATTGTATACAATTCGGGTAATTACGCAAAAATAGCGCCACGTAGAGTGATAGATCAAAGCTACGTCACGGAAATTTAGCAACTAATTTAGAAATCGGAAATATAGCGTGCACGTTAGTTACGTAAAATCCTCGTGCGTGACTTTAGTCGTCGCGTATTTGGAGATGATTCAGACGTTTTTCAGGCTATATACGTTCGGCATAATTTTCTGAAATCAGGATAACTGTTGTTTATGAGTTCGATACAAACACAATCCTAATATTTCCCCTTATTTGGTAGGGATGATATTGGTTTGGTTTCGGCGCGTAGGGTGGTTAACGTAACCGCTTGTCGGTTAAGGCTTCTTCCACCACCAAGTCTATGCATCTGAAATCAAACAAGACAGCTCTGCTCAAATATGTGGACGCAGTGGGCAAAACTGAATATTTCATCACCAATTTCACAAAAATAATATGCAGTAACTTACCAGTACCTGTATCGGGGTACCGAGACGGAACAGGAACTGTCGTAGATTTTTCAGGTCCTGTGACGATGATCCATTCTGCTTGAATTGAAAAACTAACTGATCCTAGTCACTTCTGTATTACCCGATCAGGTGCCGCAGTCTACCATTTCCTAAAAAAAACTCCCCAAAATCATAGGTAGTAACGTACGTTAATTCACCTGTATCCAGTGGTGAGCTGTAGCCGGAATGCACCGGAACGGCGTTCCGGTTGTTGGACATTTTATCGCGTTTGCGTTCCTGTTTTTAAAAATAAAATTATGATTCGAAAAGTCTAATTTCTGCGGGAAACTTAGTTATTAATTGATGTTTTGTTGCATCATAATTCTTTTTGCATTACAGCTGGCAAAAAATTAGTGCACAGCAGTAACGTGTAACTGCAATGGATGTTTCGCCGACCCTTGACACCCGTGAAAATTCATCCAATACCTTTCTAATAATAACATTTGTATTGAATTAGTATGAACATTCTTTCAATTTTGAACAGTCATATTTCAGGTAATTTTTTCATATTTCATTGTAGTTCTTCGGCTCTATCTTACGACAGACAAAATTACTGGTAGTGTAGCAAGTACATAAGGATAGTTACTGTGTATTTTAATATTTTCACCACTTATTGTTAGTAGTGCATGTTATTTGCCTGATACAAGGTCGTTGTCCCAATTCATTTCCTTTATGATATATTTTTCTCGCTCAGTGTAGCTTGTCTTTGCCGTTCTTTGTTAGTTAGAAATTTGGTTTCATCACATATACTTGCTTTAAGGTTTCAAGTGTAATTCGTTATTTGGATCA